GCTCCCACGGGAGCACCCTCGCGTGCCCTTCTCTGGAAACGCTCCCTCGTGCACCCGGTTGCCTGCTCTGCAGGGAGCTCAGGGGACCCTCAGGAAGAGGAGCTGGAAGGTCTCAGGAGAGGAGGAATGGGGTCGGGGAAGAGGTTTGTCGGGAAGCCTTTATCCTTCTACGGAAGAGGCAGATCCCCGGGTCAGAAGAAAGGAGAGTCTTACTTCCTGTCGGTTCGTTACTGTTCTCTCCTCACATATTCGGAGGCTCTAAATAAGAGTCAGGCCCTTTTCTACGGAGTCCCATGTCTCTGGCCCGGACTTGCTGTAGGTCACTGGTGGGGGAGAGGAAGAGGGCAGACCTGGGCCACCACGCTGAGTTTTGTGAACATGTCCTCACTCTTGTTTTTCACCTGTCATCCACTGTCTCTGGTACAGTCCTTTTTCCATGGTCATATGGGGGTATATATTCACCTTTTCACAGATCAGATGGAAGGGACCCAAGAGACCATCTAGATGCCCTCCTTCCTAGGCAGGACTCTCCTCTCCAGCATTGTTGAAAGGCAGTGTTGCAGCCTTCCAATGACTGAGAGCTCACTCTCACAAGGGACCTCATTCCTCTTTTGCACAACTCCAGATGTTAGGAAGTTATTTTCCTTCATTTGGGTACCCAGTTGCCTCCTGCAATCTTTCTTTGATTGGTTTGAGTTAGCCAAAGTTTTGGTAAAACTCTTCCCCTACCCATAGAAGTCCCAAGGCTTGTCCTAATGTATCCCCTAAGGCTTCTTCTCCATGTTAAGGCGCACATGGTTTTTGGTCTGTCTTCAATGAGTTTATCCTGTTTTCACTTTTCCTTCCCTCCACAGAAGTTTCCTTTGCTGTCCGAATCCCAACTCCCTTAGCACCTTGGAGCCCCAGGGATCAGACCGCAGCTGATGGGGCCCCATGTAATTCTCAGCTGGCCAGGACTGGATTTTACTCACAGAGGAGTTCAGGAGCACCCAGGGGTCAGAGCCTGTTCAGCCCAGTTCCCTACCCCTTCTCCATGTTCACTTACATCCCTCAGTGGACACCCACCCCCCAAATGAGGCTTCACCATCCTAGAATGCCCGAGCTGAGTAGAGTCTTCATGAGTATCTGGCCTTACATTTCTGGCACTGGGCTATGGTAACCCTCAAGCTCTCTGCATGAGCTGGTGTTCCCCAGAGCTGCAGGGTAGTCAAGGAACACATTGGCTTTACTCAGATATTCTGGAGAAAAGGCAAGTAATTTAACTGGCAAGTAGTTTAAGACAGTATTTTTATATTAAGACAAATGCAGATACGTTATGTAAAAGAATGTAGAAGCATCGATTTCAAGCCGAACAGAAGACTTCAAAGGAGTTTTACACTACAAGGATACTTCATAAGACAGTATTTTTATATTAAGACAAATGCAGATACGTTATGTAAAAGAATGTAGAAGCATGGATTTCAAGCCGAACAGAAGACTTCAAAGGAGTTTTACACTACAAGGATACTTCCGGCTGCTTCTTTAAAGTCTGCTCCCAGTCTGCCAACTGGCTGCTCCCTCTGCTGAGGGGTGTTTGGGTGTAGAGCTCGGAGAAGCCCCAGTGTACTCAATATCCTTTATTACTAGTGGTCAGGGAAGTGAGGAGCAGAGTTGACAAAGTGATTAGGTTGAGGACACACAGCTCGGAGGAGTCCAGATTTGAAACCCAGATCTGTTCTTTGTGCAGATGTGCATACAACGTGCCTGCCCTGACAAGAGAGGGAATGAAAACAGAAAGGGGGTTCTGCTTAACCCTTGGGTATCCACAAAATGCAGTTCAAAGAACAGTTTTATTAAAAGTGTCTGTGCTGTGGGTTCTGAATAGAGCTGACCCCATTCACTGACCAAAGTATATTTCCTTACCTCTGATAGGATCTAGTGTTCTTTGTTTAGGAAAGAGACTCAATTGAAGAAAGGAACAGAGCCCAACTCCAGCACCAGGGAATGAGAGGAACAAGGCCAACGTGGCAGCAAGGCCAACCGGAGGCCACTCTGGACACCAAGCCAGGGAGCTGGTGGGACTGGCTGTATGAAAAGTCAGCAACCCCATGGCTTTGCCTTGTTCACATATCACAGACTGTACCTGCACACGTGTGTGAACACACATGCACACCTTGCACTCAGGCTCACAGATGCCCCAAAGCTTATGATCACACAGAGCCTTACAAAGTTGAAATGGAAGAGACTATTGAAGAACTGGGTTCTGGCCTTCCCACCACGCAGCACCTGCTGATAACTGAGATGAGAATTGGAAAGGGAAAATCAACCTTAACCAGTGTTTTATTTAAAACACTATCCTTCAAAGTACTAAGTGAGGGTCAAAGCTTGGTGTTTTTTGTGAGGGTGTCTTTAACATTACTTTAAGCTTATGACACCCAGTAGTCAAAACCTTAAGCAATCAACGTCTACAGATTGGCTTATTGCGGTTCTGTTAACTTCCAGAAGTCACATCTCACAGAAGTGCGACTCTCAATATAATTTAATCAAGTCAATTAATACTGTTTAATAAATAAGCCAGAAAATTAGCTGAGACTTTTTCTCGGCGGGATGCGGCGTGCGACCAAAGTTGTGGAAGATTGTCCCTTGAATCACTAAGGCAAACTTTGTTGAGTGTCATTTTACATAGAGCAATCACATAAAAAAAAAGAGTTATAAATAGAAAAAATTCCAAAGTTCTCCCACAGACAGACAAGGAAATTGAAACATCGAAAAAAAAAATTAAAACAAAATAAAAACACAATGAACCCTCCCCCCACAACCCATTTGCTTCAAGTTCTTGATCATACAGTACTCAACATCTTTGGATATTTTACAATGGATAACTCCAAATTGCAGCCAAGAAAAAACAAAAAGAACTAACCAGTCATCTGAAAAATTGAGTTTATAAGAAGTCATTACCTTTACAAAATGAAAACAAAGGCCCCAACACCGCTAGATTCCAATTTGTTCATTTTTCCTTTTAAAGTTTGGTTCAGCCCAATCCCTTGCCTGGTGGAGGGGAACATGGGCTTGTTGGTTGGTGAGTCCCAAAGGCAAGTGTCTGAAATGGAGACAGGAATCTGAGAGGTGGCTGCCCAGGCAGATGATGTCTGAGGACAGAGGGTGTCCAAGGTAATTAATTCCGCCTGGCTGGAATGGCATCTGGTGGTATGAGTGAGCAGGGGTCTCTTCTGGGGAGCTGTGAGAGGGACAGAGTCTGCGGTCTTCTCTGGCCTTTTTGTTTGTGTTTGCTCAGGAAAAAGCCAAGGCCACAGGAAGAGCCCAAGTCTCTTGTGCCCTCAGCTCAGGATCTGGGGACTCCTGCCCTGGGCCCTCTGTGAGGGTGAACTCTCTTCCTCTCTGGGTTACTGAGAAACCAAAGCAAAGTCAGCCAGAAAAGGGAGAGGGCGAAAGGGGAGAAAGGGTCAGGAAGGCACTGGGCCAGCAGAGCTGTCTTCCTTCTCAGGAACTGCTACAAACTCGAGAACCAGGGGAGCATGTGACAGTCCGAACTCACAGAGCCCTTTCAACTCCAGCTTGGAGCCAAAGGCCTTCACCTCCCTGCACTAGGCCCTTTTGTCAAAAGAGGGAGGCAGATGCCCCAGTTTCAACCCCGGAGGGAGGAGGAAAGGGTTGAGGGGGTTCAGACACAGCAAAAGAGGACAATCATCAGCAATGCCAAGGCCTCGAGAAACCCACAACATGAAAGCAAACAGATAATCGCTGGGTAACCAGGCATTTTGTCTGTTTTCAGGAACCAGGGTGAAAGGGGGCAGCTGAAACGAATTAAGAGGCAGCTGATCCTTGGATGTTGGCCCCAGGAGTCCCAAGAGACTCTGTACAGCCTTGGAGGGAGCATGTGGGGAGGGGGTCAATGCTAAAGTGTCCTCCAGGGGTTCAGATGTGAGCAGTGGAGTGCCCGGAAGGTAGGGGAACATTTGGAGTCCCCAGAGCTGCCTGAAGCCCCACCCCATCTTTCTGTCACCCCTGTCTACTGTGGCCCTGTTTCTCATCTATGCTAATATGCTAATATAGAGGTGGTTGTGGAAACTAAGTCCAGTAAGATAAACTGTTTCACCAGGGACTTTGGGAGTGCAAAGCTCCTACCCTCTCAAGGATTCTCGCTGGAGGGATAGGTGTGTATGTGTGTGCAGGCGGGGGGAGGGGAACCGAGCAGGGTGATGCCGAGGCATAGAGGGCTTGTCTGTCCAGTGTCACAGGACAGGTAAGGGGAAAAATGGGCCTGGACCCCAACAGTCTGGCTCCTGACTCTAGTAGACCTATCTGCCAATAGGGCACTTCTTTCTGCGAGGCATAGAGGGCTTGTCTGTCCAGTGTCACAGGACAGGTAAGGGGAAAAATGGGCCTGGCCCCCAACAGTCTGGCTCCTGACTCTAGTAGACCTACCTGCCAATAGGGCACTTCTTTCTAGCTCCTGACTCTAGTAGACCTATCTGCCAATAGGGCACTTCTTTCTGTGTGGCATGTGGTCATTTCTCAAAAGGACCTTCAAAAGGATGGCTGAAGACTGGAAAATGACGCTTCAGAGCAGCTTTGTCAGGGACTCCACCAAGGGCAGTGAGGCTCAACCAAGGTGTGTGGCCCAGGACCCTCCCCCCATCCCTGCTCCATCTGGCCACCTCCAGGCCAAGCAACCCCCCTGACTCCCAAGTGCTCCTGGGCACCCAGCCTGTGGTCCTCCTCTGTGGCCCGAGTAAGCTTCTCTGTGAGAGCCAGAGAGAGCCAGCCTGGGAGAGGTGAGGCCCAGGCAGCAGGCCCTTTGGGAGGAGCTGCCCACCTCACACACCAGCAGAAGGGAGGCAGCTGCCTTAGGAGGCCCGGAAAACACCATTGCTGCTAATATTATTTTTTCACTTTCCCTTTGTGTTTTTAAAATAAAAAGTTCAGACCCATTGGGTGGGGGAGAGTGGACCTGGTGGGAGGGGGACAGGGTGGGTGGACAGAGGTCGACAAGGACCAGCCTAGTTGTTGGCTTCAGACATGGAGGCCACGTGGTTGAGGCCCGCCAGCCCGGGGAGGCCGGCCAGGCCCGCGGCCCAGGGGTCGGGCAGCGGGAAGTAGGGGCGCGCGGCGGCCACGTTCTCGGCCAGCGCCAAGGCCAGGAGGCCCCCCGCGTTCCGCTCGGCCTCCAGCTGGGCACGCCCGAACAGCTTCATCTGCGTCTCCTGGAACTGCCGCTCGAGCTCCTGCAGGCTCAGGGCGCCCTTGGGTGCCGCCAAGAAGTGCTTGGCGGGGCTGGGGCCCGGGAGGCACACAGCGGCGCCGCCCAGGTGGCCGCCCACCTCGCC